GGTTGCGTCAATTTTGTCTTCCTCAGGGTGCCATCAAAATCATTTTTACCCGTCGCTTTCTGGTTGTGAAAACTTCCAATGGTAGGGAAAGCTTCCTCTGACCATTACATCTGAATGCAATCATATTTCGTTTAGAGTCGACATAATAGTGTTTTTCTAGACTTCCATTTGCCTCGAAAAGCTGTTCAGTCACGCATACTTCCTTTACTTAGGAAGTCCTGGGAATTCTTTTGCGAAAGGCATTCTTTGCTGAGATTCTGCTTAATTCCATTGTAGACCCTTGAAAGCTTTCTGAGAAATTGCAGTACTTTCAAGGTACAGCTGAATAGGTATATAAATAAGATGAAACATTTTCAGACGACCTTTGATGGCTCCGTCCATGTCATCCGAGGGCATGAATGGCGATGTAATGCCAATGGCGACAACTTCGGCAGCGCCCGCCCCGGCCGCAAATGGCGGCGCACACTTCGTCTATTCCCGCAGGTATCCATTTACATTCTGCAACATGGAGAAGAAAAATCGACTTCCTGCCGTCATTCCTTAGCCCGAAGTGCGGCGTCAATCAGGGGCTGGTGTGGTCTTAAATCCCGTGGGACCATAAATTAGTGCACATAGATCGATGGCGAGACTTGTGGACGGGCAGTAATGATTGAGTGTAGCGTCGCGTCCTCTCCGAATTACTAATGAATTCTAATTGCGGTCGTTTCCAAAACGCTACCCTCCCGATTCGGCTGCTAGTTGGGACACCCACTCGAACATATGCCCAGATGGGGGTTTGTTGAGGTGATTGGGTGATTCTCGTGGTATTTCCAGAAGGGAAATTTTTCCAAACGAAAAAAAAATCAAAAAAAATCACCTCACAGGAATCAGAACTGCCTTATACCCACGAAATACCGTTTCAAACGAATTCGGTGTAACTGTCATGCCTGCTCCCAAACGATTCCCTTGTACCCCTTTGCCCTGGCTGTTATATTAGAGAAAGTAGCTCCCACTCATAAATCTTGACGGAGCAATAACTATATGAATAAATTTATAAAGACGTTCGTTATAGGGGAAATGTTGAGCGTGTGATCCATTAGGGTAAGCTCGCCAGTTCACTCGCTTTATTCGATTTGCTTGCGCCTAACAAAGCCAGCCTTTGGGTCGTATAGGCGGTGCCATACTTGCCTGAGACGACAAAAACCCTGACTTCTACGTTTGCTATTCCACGCAATTCGTTGTCGAGGCTTCCGAAGCAATTAGAAGTTTCATTAGTCTGCTGATGTCGTGCGTTTTGTCCCGAAATGTCTTGAACAAATCCGATTTAGCTGTTCCTATTGCCCTGTCAGCAAGAGGTAAAAATTTCTTCTACTGGCGACATCTGGAACATTTACATTCCGCGCTTTCTTTTGCAATAGCTTGCAGATGTAGTTTTCAGTCGTGTCGTGAGCCAATTCCATGGTCCAAAGGACCTCAGCCCAACCATGGGGCCATCCATTTTCTGAAAAAATGCTAGGAATTCCTACTAGTCCTCCTTCCACATTTATTGCCCACTACGCCTCTGTTAAGCCCACTTCTATTCTCTGACGGGGCCTGCTCTAATCAGAGCCGCTTTTGCGGTGCTATGAAACTGCTGGCGGCTCATCCACTCATTCATTGCACCTTTTAAGTATTTGTCGGTGGTCTGATAGAAGCTTCGTAGCCCACGCTTCTAAGGTTACATCGCTGAGCTATAGCTCTTGATTCTTCCTGGAAAACAATATTCGGCTCTATTCCAGTTACGGGGGCATCATGATGCAGTTTTCCGGAAAGCTAAGGTAACTCCGAGCCAGGGGGAGTGTAGCCAGTCTAGGGGGTGGGGGTGAGGGCAGTCACTTGACATGCGTGAAAAGCTGGAATGTTCGAGTTCACATTAGTTCGCCGAGAAGCTCGCATCACGATGCCCCCTAACTGGAATAGAACGCCATTCTCATTCAGGTTTGCCAGATGTCGAAAGATATTTTTAAGTTCAATATGTATGCTCATTCCTTCAACCAAGTCTCCTCATCTCACTTTCCTTAAACTCCATAAAATTTCATCTCACTCTTCCTTTCATCCATACCAATCAAGATCCTTTCACTGCAAGCCATGCTAGATAACTCCGTATGTTGATTGAGGGGAAATAATGTCTTGTCCAGAATGTTGAGTTACCCTTGTAATCTCAGGTGCTCATGTAAGGATTACAGTTAGGAAAGGACGTGGGGAAAATACTGCTGTCAAGACGTAGGGAAGATATTGCCGTCGATCCAACTCCCCCCTAAAGCGCATGCGAAAGGGGGTTTAAACTCTCTTTGTTTTCAACTCATCTCCCTTCAAAAGGCTTAACCTTGTTTAATTTTTTTGTTTGAAGGGCTTTGACTGCCAGCATCGTAGAAGGTAGTTTGGTGACGATGACTGGTTAAATCCATTGGAAATCTTTCTTAGAGGTTTGAAATTCTTTCTTAAAGGCTCGAAGGTTCCATGCTTTAGTGGTCTCCGCTCGTTTTAATTGCCCACAATCTGATCGCAAAGTAAGCACCGCTTAGCTCCGCCGCCAATATCCTTGCAGTAATTATGAATCTATCCTGCACAACGAGACACTGAACGAATAAATTCTTGAGCTTTTTTATTTCCTTATGCAGATCCATATGTCATAAACAACATCAAGAACAAGTTCTGTTGTGCATAGGTAACCGGTTTGAAGAGGATTGTCCTTACAGAGAGTCATGAGCATTTTAGATGGACTGCACATTTACATATAAATAGGGAACTTGGTAGGGTCACAAATTCATTCGCTCAAAATTCGCTTTACAAAGTTTCTGTGGCAGTGCGAACATTCGCGGGTCACAACGTGAGTGTTTTGTTTCTTGAAAAACCACCACATGCACAATAGATTGTTTTTTATGGCAGTGGACGGATGTTGGTCTTCCAGTTCATTCATTGTCTAGTCCAAATTGCTGAGAGCTGACGTACGCATCATTTATGCAATGGAAGACGTCTTCCCGTTGCTTCTCTCCATTCATTAGTCGTTCCTATCCCTTCCATCCATCAGGCAAATCATTTTTTTCGTCGACCTCTCCCTTGTCTATTTTTGCCGTTTTGCATACATCTAAAATGATAAAGTGATCCATTAGAATCGTCGACGTTGTTCTGTTGGACTTTCAGTTTGAATGAAGGCTGCAAAAGACATGCATTTCTAAGTATTCTGTGGAAAAACACCCGGATGTCTTGATGAAACATGCCTCTTTCGGGAATTGGTGAACACGAAAACGACTTCTCCGCAGCTAATGGGGTGAATTCAATATGAACACGAGCACACATAGTTGCTAATGAATTTTTTTCACTCCTAATTTATACATTGAGAAAACGATGGAATAGGAATAGAGCAAACTGCGCTGCATCAATCGTTCTCTGAGATGGGCAACTAGCTCAATGCAAAATCTACTTTCCTACAGTAACCCGCCAATGTAACAATTTGCAGTCGACAGTTTTCTAGGTTTTGTTATACCTGACAAATGCAAACAGCGGACCGCGTAGGGATGCAGTGCGTGCCCAAATGGGATAAAGCTCAATCAGCATGATTTGGGGTTTTTGAGACTTGATCTCTGATCTATGGTAGCAGTAGCGACCCCCTTGCCTCTACGCCTCTTTCGCCTGGGTCAAGCTTCCTATTTTCCGCAAATGGTATTTCTCTTAAGACTAGCGGAAGCAGCCGGTTCAAGGCAACGCTGTACTCACAAGCAGAGTGCGTAGTTTTCCATGGAAGACAAGTAATAATGAACCATCCTTTGAAGGAAAAGTCTGGGCTCAGACTCACCTAAGAAGCCCTGACCATGGCTAGAAGTGCTGGGCACGCCTAGTGCAAAGTTAGCGCCACTTTTCGACAATCGAACCGTCAACAGGGACTAGGCGGCATGGAACTTTACGGACTCCGAAGCTAAAGTGGTCCGCCCACGCCCCGACACCCCCCCCCCCTGATCGATGTCTTGTCTGGCGTCGCTCGATCGCTTGTCCCACTATCGTACTCTCTTAGTGCTCTCGCGATACTATCTATATTGGTCCCGATTCCAGTTAGGGGGTTGGTTCATTGTGAGGTGACCTGACCGAAGGGGAGAACTGAAAACGCAAGCATGTTATCTCATCGTTTAGAGATACAGCTTGACATGATTGGTATGTTCATCATTCATTTATCAAGATCTGTTTGCAGCAGGTGAACTTAAGGAAGCTATATATCAATGTAGAAGCTAACAATAACCATCTCATAGAAGATTACAGCACTCGAGCTGTACAGCGTGCCCTATATGAGACTAGCTCATGTCCTGTAGGGTCTATTCAGTGATGGATGATTTCACGACCTGGAGTTAGTGCCAAGGCTTTTCGACGATGCCACACCTTAATCGTAATGGTCTGACATAGGCGGTGAGGATAGTATAAGTAGCTGTGATCGATTCCAAGACATCGCTGCTCACGTAGGTCAAGAAACAACGGAACTTCAAATACTAACTAAATGTAGTAAATACTCATAATGGGAATGGGAGGCTCCCTTACTGCTTCTAGTGGCTGGGCAAAAGGCGAAATCAACTACGAAACTCGCAACTCAAAATCTAGTTGTGCTCCAACACATTCGAAAAAGTTATGCAATTTCAGCCTGACGTAACTAAGCGGTTAGCAACAGTACTTTTGGAAGATAGCAACGAGTAACGTGCGTTCTTGCATTCTGCACGAGCTCCGTTTGATCGCATAGCTGAGCAGGGGGCTTTAAGTTCTTAGGTTAAGACATGAGGATGAGATAGGCTTTCTCTTTGTAAACAAGTTTTTGAGAAGTGCTCCATTATCAAAGACATTGTTTCTATCGCGAACTACTTTGGCAGTTGTAAAAAGACATCCCAACGATAATGTACCTGTTCAGGTTTGAAGAGATGCCGAGTGAAGCGTTCCACACCCTCCACGGAATACCGCGAGACACTCAACGAGCACACTGGTGTTGTTGAAAGCACTTCAATTATACAAGTAAGTTGATATTTATAGTTTATATATAACATGAGGATCAAATGTCACAAAAAATACGGTACCAATTATCCTCCTTACCCTACCCTACCTAAAGGTGGCTGAAGTCGATTTACGTTACTTCGTACACAGATTATCCTGCCACGGCTATCCAGGGTTTTGGTATTATTTTGTTCGAAGCTAGAAATGTTTGTGGAGAGACCTCATATCAGTATCTTTGTTTTTATTCTTTGCAGGATACGCATTTTCCTCGCCAGCCTCGCACTTCTTGGGTCAATACCCATATCTATTTATTTCAGTTATTTCGTACCAAATCAATAGGTCTCGGCTGCTACTCATAGTCGTAAGTAATCAATTTCCTCTTGGCTGCCGAATTTTTATGAAGCCAAATGGCATGCAATCACGATGCTGGGAAACACCAAATATACATCATCAGAAATAGCGGCTATAGGAGAGCCACTCCATGACACTGCGCAAGGCTCGCATTCATCCCATAGGTATCGAAGGCAGAACCAGTGTGAACGATTCCTGTCGATCTATAGGTTAGACCCCTGAAGGCCAATCACAATTGTGGCATTCCCGTGCTGGAAATCACACGACGAGGTCGTTATAGCCTTTCAAATTTAGCTGCAGCAGCTGCAATGTTTCCCGTCTACAGCTGGCTGTTGCCTAGTGCCTCTCCCTTGGTGCCTTCTCACACGGAACTCTCTGCGCTCAGCTCTTCATTCCTTTGACGGCCGCCATACGAAGGGAGCCGAAGCTCATCCTCTTGCCGCGTGTTTCAAGAATCTTTTCCCATGTTCCCAACTGCCGGCCTTTCTAGCAATATTTTCAAGAAGCATGGCCCATTCGAGCTGGGAACATGTCTTTATCCACTATTTACTATCGAACGACCATATTTCATGGACTAAATATTGCGAAAAGCTCGTGCACAAATGAAGTTCGCGTTCACAATGAACGCCACTTGATCAACAAGATTGAAATTCAAGATGAGCTGATACGAATTATCCAAGTACCAGCAACCTCAGCTTCGGACTTCGTGAGATTTATGCGCTTATCACGAATGAATGCTTTCAATGAATGCCCAGGGTCAAAGTATCACAGTTTTTGCACACGATGTGAACGTACTAGGGCCGAAATGGGCCGGTAGTAATGAGAAAAGAAAAGGAATCTGTCAAATACGCCTAGGTTTAGAGTTTACTCACCTTTCGTAACCAGCTGCGATAAGGCATTGAGAGACTAAGCGTGGATGAGAGACTATGAGGCGAGAGCCCAATATATAGGAAGGAGCCAGAAGAGCTTGGATGACTAAAAAATGCAGCTAATTTTGTAAGCTCTTAGCGACTGTGTCGGGCGATTTCCATGCACGGCAGTATCACATCTTGTGATTTTCCTCTAGGTGCCTATCCTACAGGACTGAAGGGCTTCGTTCAACGCTTTGCGCCTAGGTCGTTGCTTCTAAGACTTTCCGAGGGCTGCCAACATCGTACCATGTAAGGATGAGCAGGACTCCAGTTTCGAGTCTCGCGTAGCACTTAAGTTATAGGTAAGGAATTAAAGCACTCAACAAATCGTAGTAGCCTCCCTCTGCCGTTCATAATGGCTAGGAAACAAGCAAAATATCTATGAAGAGCGATCACAAACTTGTTGTAGCCCAACAAAATCGAAGGAACTGTGCAATTTCAGCATTGGCGCGACTATTCTTGAAAGAAGAAGCCTTTTGATAGATCAGTTCTCACAAGAATAAGAGCTTCTCCCGGAACGAGGGATAGAGTATCATGCTGAAGGCCGATTTAAGCAAAGACTTCAAAGTTGTCGCCCTACAACAATTTAGTTTTTTTTTCTATTTAGTAGAGATTTGCTAGCGAACTTTCTTAGATTTCATTTTCTTAGCTTGTATTTTTTTTCGGATTATGTTGTAAATACAGCATGAAAAAGTTGGAGAAATACCAACTCTGGACTACGCAAGCAAATTAAAAGGCGAGGACTGAAGGAGTTTCCTTTGAAATTTCCAATAAAATATGATTTATATTGAACTGCTGTAGGTCAGCAGCTCTAGATTTTCCTTTGTCAGCATCAAATTGCTGTAGCTTGAAACAAGGTAAACCTATGAGAATACCGCCGACTAAAAATCGGGCCAGGTCCAAATTTAAAGTCACGGTAAAGTGTAGTAGCAGAGACGATAAGTTTATAATATGAAAATCGCATCATTTTTTTCGCAGCCATTCCTTTTAATGACACTCTCTAGGAGAAACTGGGCTTAGCTTTTCTTTTTAGCCGTGTTCATCTCGCGAACACGACGATACCGATATCGAGGAGGAGATTGTGAACACATTCCATAAGAAATCGTTCATTGTGCCAAGTAAAAGCCAGGTTCTCTTCTATCTGTCTACGTCACGACATCTTCGAATTCATCATACTGGTTGCGAACTTCAGGTGAGGAAACATCTTTTACACATTTTCGTTGGTTAGCATTTCTAATTATTGTTCTTTTTCAAATACTTCCTACTTCGTGAAAAAACGAAGAACTCGATTGAGAACCCACTCATGAAGTGCACTGTGCCTTAACTGGTTTGCGCTCCATCAAAGTTATGTTTAGCTTCCTGTCGAGCGTTTCCGCTTGTCGATCACTACCTTGTCACGGACATGTTCTGCTGTCGGACAACTGTCGTTGATCGACGTGTTGTGCTTCAGCGGACTCGCGGTCTCCTAGCCTGATCCCCCAATTGCGGTGTTTCCGTCGTTAGTGTCCGCGGTTCCATCTCAGAACTAATAGCTGCTTGCTATATAATGGCTGACAGGCAATATCGGCTACATATCTGTGAAAAAGTTCTCATTTCCCCTTCCCCAACGCCGCATACAGTAGTTTTGATGGAGTACGTTTTTGCCCTGAAGCTAACGTCTTGGGATAAGTAGAAGGGTAAAATAATTGAAGCTTTTATCAAAAGAAGACAAAATAAAGGCACTGATCATGATGTTATAGGCCAGATTTTGTAGTGACAGGGTCTTCCGTTGAATTTTGAACTATAAGCCCTTCCTCCTGGAGAGGAACTGCGATGTTGTTTCAGTGTTGATTTACGTTCAGTGGTGTGTTTATCAAAAATACCACAGCGTGATTGCCGTCGTTCGAAAGCGACTCTCAAGCTATGACTCAGCTATGAAAAGTAGAGTAATTGAGCGTTTCTTTGGCTGCTTTGTGTTGACCCTACGACCTGTTGGTAGGTGGACTAAGCTTCTACATACAGGTGAAAGTCCGCTACTTGTCGATTTTAGCCAACTGCCAACGTTTTTTTTTGTGAAACTGTTTTTTTTTTCAATTTTTTTTTCAGAATTTCAATACTCAAATCAGATTGAAACATGACCTCATTCTGATTGAAAGCGCGCCGGGAAGCATTGAGCTCATATTTTGAGATCATTGAAGAAGCGTGTGACGTAGGATCTTGAAAATTAAATGTTCGAGTGTTAGGAATCATACAGACGCTCAGGAGCTTGTTTTGAATCAGGCGTAAGAGATCGGTTCGTAACGTTACATAGTTACTCTTTTTACCTTTATACTTACTTTGGACCAATGTAAGAAGCAATCTCAAAGGCGGGACTAAAGGAGATTTCCTCAAGATTTCAGAACATTTGGGATTACCGAATCTGCACGAAGGTACCGCAAAAATTATCGCTTCGGAGTTGTCCTCCCTCCATCATGGTAATGTAGCGACCTGTTTCTTGGTCAAATTGTGGCGCCATCTAAGCTGGATACGTTGCGTTTGAGAATGCCTTGCTACGATTGAACCACTATCACCCTCCACACCATTTCTAACACTGATGCGCACGAAAAAAGGTGGTGTTCTCTATTCTGGGCCGGTCCGATGTTCTTGCGCGGGTGCATGCCGACGCCTCAGAACACTAAGAGGCGGTAATAAACGAAGAGAGTATGCGGCTGAAAATTGAAAAGGGAGTGTGCTGCGGGACTGCGAACATCGGTGGTGGAAGTAAACACATCGTTAATAGAAAAATGGGCTGGATTATTGTTCACAAAATCCGCAACAGCCCAGTCAACACTGCCAGTCTGCGGTCATATTGTCTGATATTTGGCTAATGAATGACATATTTACCACCAAATAATTTTTCAATCACTTGCGCAAATGAAAGCATGAACTTTCTCAGCAACCCAAGACTTTCAAGCACTCTTTGGCCGAATTTTTGGTCCACGGGTGCCACTTAAGTTCATTAGCATTCTGCTTCACTGCGCTCGGCTCTAGTCATCGATTCCGAAATACTGAGGGTAAGCTATCATACTCTAGCACTAACAGCCAGACCTACGCGCTGTGTGTGGGGACGGGAAGGAGTAGGCATAAATGTGCACATACCTCTTTTCAGAACTTGCACACATAAGCTGGTAACATTCAGTATTGATTCGCTAAACGAAAGTTAGTCAATCTCAATCTTTTCTTCTCTACTTCCGTAGCCGACATTCGCCCAGCCGCTGACCCGAAAACTCAATTAACACCTCCTACGGTAACGCTATTTGTTCACTGGAGCGAATTTCTATTGGTTGGATAATATGATTTGGTTCATGGCTAATGTAGTACACATCTACTGTGGCTGAGTGAGTGCTTGTGGCGTTATTACAAAAATTACCTCCTTTTTATTTCTATTTCGCATTGTTGTAAGGATGTGCCGGGGGCGGAATTTATGGAGGACCGAGTAATGGCGTGTGCAAAAAACGAAAAAGGGGCAAGATGGGCTTATCTAGGAATATTGCTTATTGTGACTTCTTAACCGCCGCTCGTGAACTATTGTGAAGGGACTACCTCAAAATTCAGTGAGCAATCGCAGTAGCGGTCAAAACCGTTCGCCGGAAACGGTTTTTCGTGCTTTACATTTTTCTCTCTTGAAGTAGTTCCAGGGGCATACAGATTTCCCTTAAATGCCTTGAATCTTCAGCAAATGAAGATTCAAGAAGGTTGAAAGGCAAGACATATCAGTATCTGGAGGGAGTTAGTGGGGTAGGAAGAACAGTGCACGAAAAATCGTTTCGGCGATCACTTTTGACCGCAACTGTATGTTTGAATGAGGGATAGCATACGTTAATCTATTATACCTATTTGGACGAAGAGGTTCATGGTAAGGGAGGATGATCGAATAACTACAGAATTCCATAAATCATCAAGAGCAATCTCGTTATCGAGTCAAGTGGCAGCACTATTACGAATGAAAGAGCGCGACAAGGGAGCAATGCCAGTAGCAGATGATGCGACCGCTGCGATTCTTGTCAATGCGGCACCCTACGTGGGTTTTGCGCCCTCTCCCTGGGTTGCTATACACGCACGAAACCAAACCTTCGCACATGTAGGTGCGAGAGAAAACGGTTCCCCGCCGGCTTAATTTAGGTGTGAAAACGTACGCGGATAAGTGGGAAGCGACTCGTTCAGGTAACGACGGGCTTACGGTCACAACATCAGGGATGACCGATGGATTGGGGAGGTGAATATTGTAGCAGCTCTCAGGAAGAAATCGGGGAGGCACCTATAAGACAGATAAGCACAACAAAGTTTGCTTAATGTTTACTGCGGTCGATTAGACTATTGCCATGACGGCTAAATTCCTACTAATAATGACCTCTCCCCAGAGTTTTGCTAGAAGTATAGCAAATCAGGGCGGAAGTGGTGTAGTGGCAAGTGGCACGCTTACCACGCGAGCGGTCCGGGATCAAATCCTGGGTCGTGAGTCGCCCGGGCCAACCAAGCCTTCCATCCCTCCGGGGTCGGTTAATTGGTACCAGACTTGTCTGGGAGGATAAAAACACTGACTTGTACATCGGCTGGCCCCCGCAAGTCATTGTATAGGCCACATCGCATTCAAACGCCACTACGAATGTATGGGGTCGGTAGCGAGAGGTTCTGAAAAGTCGTATAGGAGGTGCACGAAGGTCATATCTGTGACTTGCTAGAGGAAGGATGTAGCTAGAGACGTGAAGTGTTCCTCCAAATCATGAGATCTTCTTGATTTGAATAACTCTACTTCGTTTTACTTTACAATAGAATCTTTAGGTGTAGTTTTGCATTTATAATACCAAATCACTTAAATTTCCTGTTATGGCTGGTTACTGTTAGTTGATTGAGGATAACGAATAAAAGTGTGCTACTAGCATTTTATTGAGAGCATATTTTCCTCTAATATGTATCACTTTTTTATTCATATTGTTTTACCGATTAACCTATATTTTACGTGACTACACAGATGTTCGACTAGCATGGTCACCCTGATGGCTTCGCACTTATCTGCGGACTTTTCGCATCTGATTAAAGTTTCCTTGCATCTACAAGCGAGGCATCCTATGGGCTCGGTACCATTTACTGACCCCCTCTCGCGTACGACGTGCTCTCTCTCGCGTTCTCCCTCTCCTCACAGCGCTGTCTCTCTCCGTCGCACCACGGTCGACCTGAAATGGTGCTTGATATGGTGCTTTTTATTTCGTTTACTAGCGTTCCTCTTCGCACTTTTTGGCTGGTTTTCAACAAAGTAACGCACCAGTTCGATCGTGACCCGTGCCTCCAACTCCTGCAGCCTCATTTCGTTGACTGTGAAGTGTAAAACGAACAGAGGTGATGTCAAGTTTTGCCATCGCAAAAAATGACCTAAATTTATTTCAGAAATGTAACAATTGAACACACATAATGATGACCTAGCCATAAAAATTCCTTACTGTTCTTAATAATTATGGAAAATCTTCATTTTGTCCAAATCGTTTTCGAAAACTTTACGTCATAAAATTGATTGTCTCGTTTTGCTCTGATATGCTATGATAGCTGAGAAATATGCAGTG